GTTTCCGTCAGGGAGATCATTTCCAAGATCGACCTGAACCGCGACGGCGTGCTTCTTGCTGCAGCCTCGGCCAGAAAGTTGGACAAGGGGGCGTACTCGTTGCAGGACAGGACGCTCGAGAGAGCGTCTCGCACCAGCACGGGTGTGCTCTCGATCCGAGAGGCCCTCGCGGACCTCTTGGTCGCGGAACCCCGCGTGTTGCAGCCTAGGGCTTCCCCAGAGTCGGGTGCTGTCGAGAGCTGGTTCCGGCAGTATTTCCTTGGAGGAGTTGCCGATGTCTTAGAGGTTGCTTGGGGTGACGCGGTCGTCTCCGACGCGGCTAGGAGGCACGGGTACAGGGTTGTTCCCGCTTTTGTGCAAGGCAAGCAGGCCTACGGGATCACCTGGAACCTGGCCGCAGAAGAGCACTTAGAGGCCATTAGCGGCGCTGTTCTGCGCACAGAGCCGAAGGTGCTCGTGATTGGGCTTGAGGGCAAGAATGTGCCCCGGGCTTTCCTCCAACTAGTCGTCCGGTGTGCGCAGGAACGCACGCGCGCGGGCGCCCACGTCGCGCTGCATTTGCAGGCACAAAAAGGCGAGTGGGAACCCTGGCGGCTAGAGGAGTGGGGCGCCTTGTTTGGGACGCTCGCAGAGCCACGCTGGCCTTGGGCTTTCGTGCGGGCTGACATGTGCCAGTTCGCGCGGGCCAGTGGCCGCGGCAACCTCGTTGAGAGCGGGGCCCTGTGGCTCGCCGATTTCAGCTTAGAATCGGTAGGTTTGAGGTGTAGTAGGCCGGATGCGTTAGGCGCAGTGCAGCACAAGCACGTTGTGCGCGCGCAAGCCGACTACAACCTCATAGGGGCGGCTTTCTGCGCATCGCTCCAGGACCTTGGTCTGAGGGGCGCAGAAGAGCTGTGCACCGCTGCAGTTGAAAGCTTTCCAGCCACTGCGGGTGCAGATAGCGCCGCGGCTGCGCCACAGCCCTCTCCAGTCGTTCCCCTCCCGGACGTGCGCTCGGGCGAGGACCTCACGCCAGCAGAGCGTGCGGAGCTGGATAAGGAGGTGGATAAGTACGCCGCTGAGAAGGAAGCGTTTTGGCGGACCAAGGCGGACGCCAAGGACTGGGATTCCGTCCGGGCTGACCTTGAGGTCTATGCTCTTGCGGGCGAGAAGGTCGCGGAGGATCCTAGGCGCACCGAGGCCTATAGAGACCTCGTATGGTCGGGTTTGAAGATCGAGCCTGGACCAACCAGACCAGGGCTGACCGATGCTGACATCGCAGCCGTCAGGGAGGTCATACGGCGAAAGGCCGCTGGGTTCTGGGTGGAGGACACCACCAGGACCACGGTCAGGAAGTTCGCCCATGACTGCATCCCCACCGGGCCGCCGGTCTCGTCCCAGCCTCACAGTCTGAGGGGCGAGTCCGCGCAATGGGTCGACGACAAGCTTGAAGAAGAATGCAAGCGGGGTCAGTTGATCCGCGGCAGCTCGGCTTGGGGATCTGCGCCGTTTCCGACCAAGGAAATGCCCAGCTACAAGCGGCATAGGAAGCGACGCTTGGTGGTTGACTACCGCCGTGTGAATGCCCGAATTAAGCGCTCCACGTACTATTGTCGGCGGGGTAGCGATGTGCTCGCCGCCGCAGTGGGTTCGGTTTGGTATACCTTCGTGGATGCGGTTAGTGGGTTTAATCAGATTAGGAACACCAAGCGTGCTCGCGAGGTGTTGGCCATTGTGGCAAGATCAGGGAAATATCTCCCTGTCGGCCTCACCTTTGGCCCGATTAACGGCCCAGATGATTTCAACTTTGTGGTTGATAGGGCCTATGCCCCCGGCAGAGGTAGGCGCCTTAAGTATACTAAGGAGTGGATAGCCTACGTGGATGATCTTACTGTTAGGACGGGTAGGGTCATTGATGGGCAGTTTTTCACTGATGCCCAAGCCGAGGGGGCGGTGCGCGAAGCGTGCGCCAAGGGGGCAGTCGCGGCTCCGCAGAGCGCGTCGTCTGCTCTTGAAGCCTTAGGCGTTCGCGGTGCGCACAACACCAAGCGCGCGAACCATGACGCGGCGCGCTCAGACCAGAATCACCCCACGCGCGTTCTGATGCTCAGGATGTTGGGGCTGTTCGGGTGTTTCTGTGTTCAGGGCGGGTGTTTTTGGGGCGGGCCGTTTCCCAGGTCGCCGGTCTGCGGGCAGAAGGATTTTTCGTCGTTCGTCGCGTGCAGCTTCGTTCGTTTGTCCCGCAGCCAGTGTCTTGCAAGCAGGCCTAGAGGTTCGGTCCAAGGTCGAAGCAGAAGCCGTAGAAGCCTTAAAGCCCAGACCTTAAGAAAACTCCCCAAACCCCCGCCGCAGCGGTTCAAGTGTGTTGTAGAGCCTAGGGTAGGTAGTCCCTCCCCGCGTTCGTGCCTGTGCACTGCGCCCCGCTGCGGGTCGCGACCAGACCGCGCGGGAGCGACCAATCGGTCGCCCGGACCTTCGTGGTCAACCACAAGGCCCCGCTGCGGGCCGTGCCCTGGCCGCGCGGGAGCGGCTACCTACCACTACTTGGATATTCGGTTGGGTTAGTAAGTTGTTCGCCGAGATGCTAATGACTTACAGGGCTTAGAATACATGACATAGCCGGTTTAGGCTCAGACAGACTTGGCACGCTTCGCGCGGGCGACATAGTCGACTTATGTAAGGGGGGTTAGGTGACTTAGTGCCAGGACGGCTAAGTCGACTTAGAGGGGGTACGGCTAAGTCAGCTAAGTCGACTTAGCTGGGGAGCTTTACCATTGAAAAAAAGGCTGCACGCTTAGGTTTGGCCCTCTATGGAGATGAACGTTTTGGTGTCACACATAATCATTTTTGGAGGTTAAGTTGGAGCAGTTGGCCCAAGTTTTGCCTTGCGAGGCCGTTCGCACAGCCCAATTAAGAACCCGGAGAGCCCATCCGTTGACGGACGCTGGCCGGCTGTCGGCACAATCTGGGCGCCTATGAAATCTGAGGTTTATATGAGAGAGGTCTGGTTAATTTGAAGGGGTGCCTTGGGTCAACCCTATAAACCCTGCGCGCACGTCTCTTAATCTTTAGCGTCCGGTGTCAAGCCGCGGGAAGTCTTGCGCAGTGGCTTTTGAGTCTATATAGGGGTGCTGATCAACCGCAGAATAGAACCCAGAAGTATATTGAATTTGGTTTAGGGGCCAACCCCAATCAAAACTTACCTGACTCGGGCTGTCCCGGAGAGCAAAGGTCCCGGACAAAAAGGTATATATGGGAGTTAACGAAAACGAAGGACACCTATTCTTGACCCAAATAGTATATACCCCCTGATAAGAAGGACACCTTTCTAGAAGGTACTTATAAGATCGGAAACGCCCATATAGAAACTGCATGATGGCAAGCTCCGATAGCCTGCCCTGCTGACGGGTAACTGGAAGCAAGTGAGCTCGCAAAAAGCAAACGTGTGTGGCCCAGTGCAATCAGGGGTGTCGGGTCATGAGGGATACTTCTGGGGGGTTAAGATGCTTTTTGCAGTCTATATAGGTTTAAGGTTTTTTTGGATGTATTATTTAAGGTTTAGGTTGAGGGTTTGAGGCTTAAGGTTTCAGGCCGATGAGCAGGTCGTTAGTATGCAGCCCCTCCCCTGTGCCATCGTCGCGGTCGTGGAAGACCGAGTTGATTTCGGAGCGTATAAAGGTTTAAGGTTTAGGGCTTATGGGGTTTATAAGGTTTCGGAGGTTTCGGGTTTGGGGCTTATACTAGCCCCGGGAGAAACCTGGGAATAACAAGGGTGCCCTTTTTGGTTTTGAGGGGATTATATAAGGGAACCCCAACCATAAAAAAGGGCCCACTCCCGGTCCTATAGTTTAAGTCTTAGGAGGTTTTGGCGGTACCTTTCAACCATACCCTCCGCACTGTAAGTCGAGGGAGGCTTAAGGCGGTACCTTTCAGCTATGCCCTCCCGCACTGCTCTGGGATCTTCCAGTGGAATCTCTATACACCCAAACCCCAAACCCATAAACCTTAAATAAACCCGAAACCCTCCGATTGACTGGCGCGGAGGCGACGCCAACGGCTGAAGATCGCTCACAAGTTATCTCTCGAAGAAAGCGCGTCCTTTATTCGGGCTACCTAAACCCCCGAACACCCTAAACCTCCTAAACCTTCTATATAAACCCTATTTTTTGAACCCACGCTATGCTATACTGCCTGAGACGGGACCTATAGAAACCCTGAATCCTTTCAACCCAAAGACCAAAACCCTAAATTCGAAAATGCATGATTCGCACACGCACTCGCGTCGTGCCAGGGCTTCGAAATCTAAAGAGGTTTACAAGTTTACACACGGGGCCCGAGGTCTTGAAACAGGGTGTAACTTTGAGGCTTGATCCGAGTCCGGCCTCAACTCCCCAATATCAACCTCAATTATTCAAAGAAATAACGGAAACAAACCCAAGCCCGAAACCCAAAAACCCTACATAGAAACCCTACACACAAACCCTTTTCTATAACCCCAACCACACATCGCACGGCCACTGCGACGGCGTAGCTGTCGCGCTTTGCCTGCCCAAGGCTTTATTGGGTCGTTATTCTAAAGGGCGTGGTTTTGGGCGCGGGGTGAGAAGAGGTTGGAAAGGTAGAGAGTTCATACTCTACAAAGTGGGTTTGCGGGCTTTTTGTTCCAACTCCAAACCCAGCCTGAACCGTCGAAGTTAAGCTACCCTATAGATACCCTATATTCATGCTCTACAGGGGAGGGTTTGTTGGTTTACAGGGTTTGAAAGAGATATATAAGGGCGCTGGACTTCCGAATGCCTGGGTGGGTTCAGGGAGATGGTGGGCGATTGCTTCTGCGGCGTTACGTTAGAAAACCCTAGAAAACCCACATGCAAAGCATGAACCCTCGAAGTTAAGCTGCCCCAAACACCCAAAATAGAAACCCCATAACAGCTATATAGACTTATACTCAAAGCCTGCGAAACCCAAACATGTTTCAGGCATCGAGCAATGAGCGAGGCAATCGGCGCAGGACTGTGTGCTCAGTTGTCGTATGCCTGCGGTGCCACGGTGCATATGCCATCCTGGGCCTTGAAGATGCAGACGGTCCGTATTGTCTCAGTGAGAACGAAAACATACTCGTCCCTGCACACGCGGAACCGATTGCTTTTGTCCGGGATCGGCTTGTAGAAGAAAAGGCAGGTGAGGAGGCAGTCTTGGTAGTGGCAGTGGTAACAGACCTCCGCAATACCGTTGTAGCCCTCAGCCCTGACAAGCACGATGTCCCCGCAACGAACCCAGCGGTTTGGCGCATAGTATGCTTTCTCGGAAACTAAGAGACGCAAGGGTATGACGCCAAACGCAGTCCGGAACTGCGCCAAGACCGGCGCAGGCGCCGGCTTTGCGTCCAGAAGCCCCACGCCGTGGACCAGGACGTTCTCGCTGAGGTCCTCTCTGTGACACAGCAGCATCTCCTCCATGAGTGACCTTTCGGTCCCGGTCTTGGAGTTCATTTGTTGATTCGCGAAGCGCTTGAGTTCTTTGTGGCGGCGTTCATGCACCCAGCAGCTGAGGAGCTGGGTATGATGCTGCAGCATCTTGGGGAGGTGGATTGCCATATGGAGCTTGGGAAGGGCTGCGTCCTCCCCATAGACATGAGAAAATGCCTTGGCGTGTGCTTCGATCGCCTGCCGAAGTTTGTCAGCGTGACGGCTGCCACCGTCTTCTGCAGCCAAGCAAAGCCAGTCCAAAACCCTGGCCAGCAGCAAATAGCACTTGACAGCCGCTTGCACACCTTCTGGAAGACCCGGCGCTTGCAGCAGGTCGGACAAGAATAGCCTGAGAACCGGGTATGCGCTCAGAGCCTCAGAAGCCGAGGACTTCAGCTCGTCGTCTGATTTGTTCAAGGACTCGAAGATATTCCGGGCTCCAGCTCCCTTGGATCCTAGGCGGCTCGGCCATACGAAGTCTTGGAAGAAGTTGTGGATATCTGACGCCTTGCAGACGCCGCCCTGCCACAGTCGACGAAGAAGAAGGTTGGACTCCTGGTGCCACAGTCCGGAAACATAGTAAATGTGCATGTAGTCGAAGCACAAGCTATCCGGAATGTTCACTTTGGCCATGAGTTCCTGGGAAGCGAGGACGCCGTGAGGAGCAAAGTTGAAGCCCAAACGCGTCTGTAGATCTTTCAGCTGGGCTTTGCTCAGCACAGCGTTCTCTTGCGCGAGGTAGCGTGCCATCTCCTGCAGACTCTGCTGCGTGTGCATCAAGAATTTTCTGGCATCCCAGCAAGTGTGCTGAACGAGTGGGTCGTGCATGTCAGGCGGGGCATAGCGTCGCAGAACGACGTTCCGACAGAGCAGACAAGGAACCTTTCCAGACGCCCCTTTATTGTCAAACATAAACTTGACAGCAGATTCATCCGAGATGACCATTCCCACGCGCGCTGCAAGAAACACACGCTCTTCGCCCAGCCGCAGCTGGATGCCAGCGGTCCAGTCCGCCGTCTGGCGGAAAAAGGAAAGCATGGCGTACTTGCACAGCTGCCCCATGCCGCCTGCAAGCTTCTGCACCGTGTGGGAGCGCACGGTTGTGAGGAGGAACCAAGCGCGCTCGTGGCACAGCGCATTGGCCGACAACTCCTTCAACGACCAATATATGGTCTCCAGCCTCCTCTTGTTCGAGCTTTTCAGTTGATTGCCTGGCGACACCTGGTCGCTATAAAAGACTATCGTCCACGGTGTTGCCGTGGACGATGGTCTTTCCTCCAGGCGCTCCTTCAAGAAAGCTTGCAGACTCGGGGAAACGCATGTCAGATGGAAAAATGTGGCCGCAGGGTCGCAGTAGTTCACGGCGACCGTCTTTCCATCCTGCATGCGCATGTCCCACTGCCGTAAAATGCGACCATACGGCGTCTCCGCATTTGCACTGGCCATCCTTTTCCGCTTGATTGTCGTAGCGGAGATTCCAGCTGGCAACTCGCAATCACGCACTGCTTGAAGAACTGAAGCAAGTCCAGCCTGCGACACGAAGTGCTTGCGCCCGAGTCTTGTCACATCAAGCGTGGGGCGCGCTTGTGTCTCCGCGCCCAGCTGAGCATCCATCCAGCGGGAGAAAACTTCCCTGCTCTACATGTGCACGCGCGAGACAAGTCCCTGCGCCACACAGTGCGCGAGAACAATCCCTGCGCACCTTAGAAGTCTACACCTCGCCAGGTACATGTACCAGACTGCACGTATAGACGTCGCCTCGAACGGGAAGACACGTTGAAGGCATGTGGCTGCATCTCATGCACACTCCTGAAAACATGAACCATTGTAAAAGAGAATGCACAGTTATAAGCTATACCGAGTAGCTACCTATTTCCGGCGTCTAGTCTGACGTGTATACGTTCCTCTGTTGATCCGAACGCATGCATAGTTAGACTATATGGCCAAGAAAGCACAATGTCTGTCCGAGCAAAATGCTTGAAGGGTCACTGGAGATCCTGCAGTTCATGCCGAAGCACTTCAACCCAATACAACCCAAAATCACTTCAACCTTCCAGCCCCACGCGCGCAACGCCCATTCAAACCTCACTCATGAAAAGAAATGAAGGAAGCATGTATAGAGATTGATACGTATATGTATATCTATATACATACAGATACATATCCATGTATGCATATATACATCCATACATATATACAAATATACATATATACCAATATACATATATACCTCTGTAAATGTTTTCACATATACATATAAACATATACACATCTATACATTTCTACATAATTCTGCATATATACATATATACATATATATATACACACATATATATATATATGTATATATGCATACTTATATATATATATACATATACAAAAACACATAAATACATATATACATATACATATATACATATATACACATATATATATATACATATATATGTACATATATACATATACATACATATATATATATACATATACATCTACATATATACATATATACGTATATACATATATACACATATACAGATATACATATATACATATATACATATATACATATATACATATATACATATATACATATATACATATATATACATATATATATACATATATACATATATACATATGTACATATGTACATATGTACATAAAAACATATATACATATAACATATATACATATATGCATATATATACATATATACATAGATACATATATACATATGTACATATATACATATATACATATATACATATATACATATATACATATATGCATATATACATATACACATATATAGATACACAAACACATATATACATATACACATATAAGGGTGTATATAGGGTTTAGGGTTGGGGTTTAGGGTTTAGGGTTTCGGGTTTAAGGATTATAGGGCTTATAGGGTTTGTAGGGTTTATAAGGGTTTAGGGTTTAGGGTTTATAGGGTTTATAGGGTTTATAGGGTTTATAGGGTTTATAGGGTTTATAGGGTTTATAGGGTTTATAGGGTTTATAGGGTTTATAGGGTTTATAGGGTTTAGGGTTTAGGGTTTATAGGGTATTTATATACAGGGTCCATCAACAGCAACATCCTGCAGGCCTTGCTCGCAACTCTTGAACCCTTATCAACGCTTCAAAACAAAACTTGGAACTCCTGAGCCCTACAGCGTAACATAAACACGCCCTCCACGGCGCATGCCCTGGCGCCTGCCACGAGCGCACGCGCCAGGCTGCACGCAGGGCCTGCGCGAGCAGAGGTTTAGGGTGCTCAAAGTTGGGGTTTGAAACGTGTTTGTGCGGCGTTTAAAGGGTTGATTGAGGGTGTCGATGGGGTTCATTTCCCCGCAGCCTATGTACGTGGCATCCCCCGATGTATATAGGGCTTTATAACTCCCTGTCACCCTGCATGCGGCCCAAACACCCCCCCCCCCCAACTTCATCCCGGCCTCACAGAAGAAGATTCCGAGCAAATTCGCTGCCGCCTTCCGGATTTGCAGGTATATGCGGCACGTATAGAAGATGTGGGGCGGTCCTTTACATTTGCAGCATCTTGCTTGTCGGCTTGCAAAGAGGCATGCAATGTTTGCCAACCTTTTCACTCGCGCGCTGATGCGCGGGCAGCGTGCCAAGGAAGACGCGGCCGGGCTTCAAAACTGAGCCTATACATAGTCCCTTCTCATGGTAATGTAAACCCAAACAAAGCTCATCAACCCTAAAGCGTGAAGCCCCATTTGCAAAGCCTATATATAAACCCCATAAACCTTAGAAAGCCTATACAGGCCCTATATAAACCCTATAGAGAAAAAGCCTCAACCCCTATACAAAAGAAAGAACCGCATCCCATATTTAGAGGTCCCTTGGTATGCTTGCAGCTTATATAGCACATCAAGTGAATCGTGTACAGTGGCCGCATTGCATCACTACGGGTTTGTGGTAATCTACAGTGTGCATAGATGCTTTATTTTAGCTAGGGTTGCAGTTTGAAGTCTTCAAAGTCTATCCTACATCCGCAAGCTGGGCCGCGTGCACGCAAACAGGAACATTCGTCTGCATTTTAAAAACATCACCCCTCCATGTTAACGTAGCCCTGACTCTCAGCTTCAGCCATGGTGCGGAAAGCGGAGCCACTGGGCGACACAAAGTAACGATCCCTCTGACCGCTAGCGCGAAAGCGGTCCTCGATGTCCCAGCCCCTGCAAGCGGCCGGACGCCTGATCACCGCCTTTGACGATGTCGAGGCGGGGCCCTGTTTGGCCTTGGCTTTTGCCTTGCCTTTCGCAATGGCTTTCGGCGACGACTTGGCGAAGGCCTTGCAGGAGGCCTTCGCCTTCGCCTTCGCCTTCTCCTTCGCCTTAGCCTTCGCCTTCACCTTCGGCTTCTCCGACGTGTTCGACCCGTCGCTCTTAAGCCAGTTCGCCTGCTCCTGCACGCTGATGCTGTTAATGTCCGGGATGTGGAGCACGGGCGCTGCAGGTTCTTCCGGCATGGTTTGCTGTGCTGGGCCCTTCTCTTCTGGGCCCTGCTGAGTCGGCTCCTCCCGGGGAGCTGCACCATGCGTCGCCGTCTCATTAGGCTGGGTCTCGACCGGTTTGTCCATGAGCGCCTTGGGCTTACGCTTTGCGGGCTGGCCAAAGATGTGCAGGTTGAGGCCGTCGTTGCCACTTCCGACATTCTCGCCCTGCTGCATCTTCTGCATCATGTGGTACATGCTCATAAACCGCATCATCTGCTGCACCTGTTTACCAAACCCAGTCCACAAGCACACAGTGCCAGTTGCACGTGCTGGAGGGAACGGATGCATGCACTTGGGGGCTTAAAAAAAAAATCAACACAGCCTACATGTGCGCGGCCATGTGCGGCCTGTTCTTGTTCACCTGTGGCACGCTTGGACGACGACGACGAACTCGCAGTCCACGGCACCAATGCTGTGGAGTCTTCCAAGGCCTTCTTCGACTTCCGCAGGGTTCCGGTCTTGTCCAAGGCGGCAGTCACGAGCACCTCGGAGACGGGATCGAGAGTCTCATCCTGGAAGGCGTTCTGGAAGAGGTCGCCGGGAAGCTCTCGTGGGTTGGGCGGCAGGTGGGTGTAGTAAGAGTCCAACTTGGAACTCTTTCTGCGAGTCTTGACCTTATCCTTGAGGCACCGGACATGTTCAAGAAAGGCCTTGTGGCTGTCCGCCTCAAGGCCGCAAGCCACCCCCGTGGCGACAACTCTGCCATAGCCGGCCTCCGTCATGTAGTGGAGCCCGATCTTCAAGCACCGGGACGCCAGCACATCAACCTTATGGACCGCGTGCGTATCGGGGTCGGCCAGGAGCTCCTCTTAATTCTCCAAAAGGGGATTATAAACGCTTCTACTTGGCAATTCTCCTATCAAGCAAACCCAGCACTCCTTGTCTCGTTTGCTGATGTAGGCGCCGAACGCGTCGACGCCCTGCAGCTGGGCCCCGCCCTTGACAACGACCTTGTCCTTTTTGGCAAGTAGAGTCGTGGATATCGTCTGGGACAGCTTCTGTTTGGCCTCTGCAGTGACCGGAAGGGTCTGAACGGCAGTCGTCAGCGCAGTGGCTTCCTCCGTGGTGACGTTTGCAAGCTTCTTGATCCGGAGGTCCAGATTGCTGATGTGTTGCTCTGCCGCGGAGGACCAGCCCGCAGCATCAAGGAGGCCTCGCTGTTCCTTGAGGAATGTTGCGAGGCTGGCAATGTCCTTCACCATGTCTGAGGCCATGCTTTCTACGCGGGCTACTTATATCTACAGAGGGTCGTGACGCCTGTTGGAGCCCACGCAGTCGCGGATACCCTGCGACGCCCTCGTCGCGAGCACCAAGCCCTGCGACGTGCCCATGTGCATGCGTGTGCGTGCAAAGCTGTTTACCTCACGCCCACGCTCTTGACTCATTGGGAACATTATATGCTCCCTGACACAAACAAAAACGTCCATGACATCCTAAAGTTCCTGTCAAGCCTCACTGCTGACGCTTGCGCCTGCGCACATGCCTGGCCGCAGCCTTGGCCTCGGCCAGGCCCATGGCGGCCCACGCTGCCAGGGCCTCATGTACGGACGTCTCTCCGCCTCCGCCACCGAGGATCTGCGCTCTTGCGGGCCCCGAAGAGCCGCTGGCAGTCGAAGCCTGCGATCCTGCAGGAATAAAGGCAAAGCTGCGGCCGCTAGCCAGTGCCTCTTGCTGGAACATCTGCAACAGCACAGTCGCATCATGAGTCGCATCGATGGAGTCTTTGCTGTCATTCTCTGGTTGGGCGTCGCGCTTCTCCTCGTCCATTTCTGGCTTCTTCTCCTCCTGGCTCTTGATGGTCTCACCAGCGTCGAGGTTCTTGCTTGACGCCATGCTTGCAAGAGGGCGAGCGGGAAGGCGTCGACGCTTGTCCTGTATATACCTTTTGAGTTGTGTCTGTGAACAAGGCAGCGGAGCAGCACACGACGATGGGAAGTCGTGATGCGAAGTCTATAGCAGCACGACCCTAAAGAGGCCAAACCCCCCTCTGGACGTACAGGGACCCTGCAAAATCACGCAAGTCCTGCAAGGAGAATATATTCCTTCTTTACTGTAAGGGGTCTGGGCCTCTTCAGGACACGCCTCTGCACGAAGCACGGCATCGCAAAGTCGCTTTTCCCCAATGCATCATGAACGAATTCTGAGTGGCCGCGAGCTCTACGCCCTGCAGCACCGGGTTGGGCGCATGAACTTGTGCATGTTATTTATAGAAGTTGCCGCGAGCTCATGGCCCTGCAGCGGCTGTCTCGCGAGCTGATCTCTCATCCACGCACTCTGCCGGGCCCCCTTGTGGGGGCCAGGAGGGCATATACAGGCATGCAATCGATCTGCCCTTGCGCCGTCAACTCCCATACAATCGCTTGCAACCCCTCACATCCTCCATATGAAGAAACACACGCACACACGCGCACGCGCGCACACACACACACACACCCAGACAAGAAACCTCTCCTCGAATCAAGACAACAAGCCACCAGCTTTGGGAGGAGGGGAGGGGGGAGGAGAGGATTTTTTTTTCTCCGGCAACAACTCAACTATATAGTTTCTGATGCGAAAGCATGTGGGGGGTTTGGGGAGGGGGGGGGGGGGGGGGGGTCTGGGCCCTCAAAACTCTAACCTCTCTCTTTCTGGGACCAATGCATGTCGTGCAGAATACGTGTCAAAGTTCACTTCGCCCAAAATCTATAATCCTGGGCAAACTGTATACCCAACCTAACCAGGTTCCGAAGGGCTATACAAGGCAGGGTCTACAGTTGGGTATAGAGTTTGTTCATACTGTTACATCATGAGCCTCCTGAGGGACCTACTCCCAAGGCCTCCCCTATAGAGAGCATCATGAGCACCAGACAACCCGCCCTCTGAAATCGGTGAAAGAGAGTCCTGTCGGCTCGCCGAATGTGCCCGTCCCACCCCAAACTGCCTTCTCTGTCTCAGCACATGAGGGGGGTTGGCTGTTGTTTATATTGGTTTTGGGGGTGCATTTTTTTTGTTTTCTTTAGGGGGGGGGGGTTTCCTAAATTTGGTTCCGGGGGGAAGGGGAAACCATGTGTACCTTTTCGGAAGTTGCGCCGCCATGTTCCATGTGTATAGGCAACAGAGAGGAAGCTCTGGGACGACGCAACTTCAGCCCTTATACAGGAAAGCCACGCCTCAAAGGAGCAGCCTGCACATGCACAGAAAAGACGGGACCCAAAATTGTGTAGGCATAAAAAACTCATAGGTTTTTTTGTGTTTGCATGAGTCCCCGCTGATGTGTCCTGCGGTTTTTTGTGCATGCAAAATTTTCCGACAGGGAGGTTTTGTGCAAGCAGAAAATTTGTATAGATTTTTTTATGCATGCATAATGTGCGCTTCTTATCTCCACTCCCTAATGTTGTCGGAGGGGGAAACTCTCGCGAATTTTTTTTTTTGATTTCCGGGTCTCGGCTGGAAATCACTGCTTTAGTCACTTGTTTTGGCTGCGCCGATGGAGCAAAAGACAAGCAGGGGTCGCGAAAAAACAGAAACCTCATCCAGCTTATTGTTGTTGTTTTTTTTTTTTTAAGGGGGGGGGGGGGGGGGGGGGGGCGGGTCAGGAGTGCAACCGCTCTACCTCTCGCTCGCCCCTCGCTCGTCCTCTCGACACCGACACCGCCATGGCCGGCAGCTTCTGTTTTCACGGCGCAGATCGAAAGGCTTTGAAGCAGGATCCGAAAAAAACGGAACCCAGACCGTAAACCCTGGACCCTGTACCTGAAACCGTAATACCTTAAACCCCAAACCCTGAACCGGAAACCCTGCACAACACACTATCAACCCTATAAACCCGATAAACCCTGAACCCTGAACCCTAAAGTCTAAACCCCAACCCCGGCGCGTGAGACTGGCCGCGGCTGGCCGTCATGACATCATGCGAAAGTGTTTTCGCGGGCATATGCTTACACACCAGACAGAGAGCCGCGGCCCGAGCACTGGCACAGGCTTTAAAGGGGGGCGGTGCGGAAACTTCAGCGCTGTGTGCAGCTATGCTGGGGCCAATACACCCGAAATCCTAAACCCTCATACGCCAGGAATGCTGCAATCCCTAAACACTAAGCCCTGGAAACCCTATAAACCCTATATAAACAATTATAAAACCCTCCAAACCCAAAACCCTAGAAACCCTGTATAGCCCCTAAACCCTACAAACCCGAAACCCTAAACCCGGAGAGACTACACACAGGCGACGGGCAGTGCACTGCGAGGATCTCTATATACAGGGCTGGGCAGCAGGCGGTCCAGAACCAAAAAGACTGCAAACCAGAAGTCCACAAGTCATGTACAAAACCCTTGCGTCGCCAAAGCCCGACTCGCCCTCTACGCCCTACGGTGCACGACATCAGCCAGCTTGTGCATGGTCTCTAAAGCCGTAGCTAGCTGCTTCGAGTGTGCATCAGCTTGGCGACGTCGCTTCGCTTGCTCCCTCTGACCCGCACGCTCGCGGGGTCGCTCACGACCCTCTCCGTGCCTTGGCTGGCACGTAAACGTGGACAGGCCGGCCACGCATGCAGCATGCAGGACGTGCTCCCACGCAGTGTACATGCGCGCGTGCAAGCACAGGCATGCACCCACGTCACAGAAATGCAGCCCAAATTCAGCCAGCGGCACGGGTGGAAGACGCCCTCCTCGCTCATCCACCCGCCCTTGACGTACCACCCGCGCTTGCGAGGCGCCTGCAAGGGAAGCCACTTAAGGGTCTCGGGATTTGCATGGGTGGGACTGATAAAGAACTGCCGAAAGCATCCCTGCATGCAGGATCGGGGGCGCGGTTGCAATCTTGCGTGTGCACTATAGTGAGAATTTCACAGCCACGACTACGTGCGCGTGCGCCTCTTGCCGCTCTGCCACACCGCGCCAGGAAGACGAAGAAGACGATCCACCCTGCAGGCATGTCGCGGACGGGGATTGGTTTTTTGGGGTTGCAGGGTGTGCGGGCTTTCAGTGCATGTTGGGGCTTGCGTGGGGTTTCGGGGGCGTGTATAGGGATTGGGGTTGGCCATGCAATGCCTTATACCAACAGGGCCTCCCACTGCTTCTGCCCAGCATGCTCCTCTTCCGTCTCTTCCGTCTTCGGCCACGAAGCATCCTCCGGGCAGGAGTGCATCTGAGCCACACACACACACACCCAGACCTAAACCCCACATTACCTGAACCCCAAACCCTGGACCCATCCTGTCCAGCCTCTACCTTTGGCCACTCCGACCACGATGCATCCTCCTGCGCGTCCGAGGCTCCAGGGGGGGGCCCTATTTTCGGGGCGCAACTCATGACATGTTCGTGTCAGGAGGACGAACTGCTCGCGGGCCTCGCCCTTTGGCCACATGTACCATTCATTGTCCTGCGTCGGCACCAGCATGGGGGGTCCATATTTCGGGAGGACGAGGGATTTGGGACTTTGCAACAGCCCTTGAAACTCTAAACCTTACAGACCCTAAAAACGCAATGCTTAGGACCCTATGAACCCCAAGCCCCATAAACCCTAGAGAAAACTCTGCTTCCCGAAACCCTATAGCCCACAGCCTCCGCCTTGGCCTGCGACCATGAGGACCAGGTAGACCAGTCCTACGTGCTTCGGGGGGGCATGCAGGGGCGGTACAAAGGCGCACATACATGTTCTCACAAATCCTCAAGACTGCCCCAGATTTCCCACGTCGCTGAAAAACCCGCCTGCTCCATGCCATGCCACTCCCACTCCTTCCAGGCGTCGCCATCATGGTCCTGCTGCACACAGGCGAAGGCAGGCTCGGGAGGACAGAAAAACTGCAGGCCCAGCACACAAGGGTTTAACTTCACAGGCATGGCACGACACCAGACTGACCCTATATACTCCTATACATGCACAACCTTTACACACACGAGGACCGCACGCGCGTCCTGCGCCGGCGGCTCCAGCCACTTGGCGTCCACCACGCCGTGCACTTCCTCTTCCTCCTCCTTGACCTCTAGAATGGGCTCATCGAGATGAGCTGCAATTGCCAGCTGACAGCGCAGCCGTCCAAGTCAGTCACGCTACACTGCACATGCAAGGCAACCCATGGTTGAGCAGGAAGCGAGCGCGGTATACCACATTCCACGCGGACTGGCAGGCACACGTGGCTCATGCGGACTGTTTGTCTTAATCTCTCACATGCGCTCAGAAAACGCCAAAGACATCAAAACTGATTTTGTCGTTCCCCTGACTTGC